TAAGAGAAGCCATGTTGACTCATGCCAATGGCCCATCCAGTCCAACACTCTGTGTCACACATTGGCCAAAACCCAGAAGCCATCAGGAGGTCCACAACTTCAAAAGCCCCCCCCCCCGTTGCTGCCCAAGCACCAAGAGTACAGAGTGCTCCATCTATGCCTTGTGGCTAATCCTACTGCTCATCAATTTCTTTGATTGCCCATGAGTTCTTGTATCATGAGAAAGGGAGAAAAGTACTTATTTCTCAACCTTCCCTATCCCATAATTTTGTCATCCTCTATCATGTCCCCCGTCAGTCGTCGTTTCTCCAAGCTAGAGAGCCCTAACCTCTTTAACCTTTCTTCATAGGGAAGGTGGTCCATCCCCTTAATCATTTTAGTTGCCCTTTTCTGCACCTTTTCCAATGCTATAATATCTTCTTTGAAGTGCGGTGACCAGAACTGTACACAACATTCTAAATGAAGCCGCACCATAGATTTATACAGGGGCACTATGACACTCCAACTTGAACAGCGATGTGAAATGCAGGGGAGAGATCATTCTGGCAAGACTAAGTACTTCTAGGAACATAAGAAGCTGCCTTACACCGAATCGGACTGTTGGTCCGTCAAAGTCAGTACTGTCTATTCCGTCTGGCAGCTGTTCTCCAAGGTCTGAGGTAAAGGCCTTTCAAAACACCTACTACCTGGTCCTTTTTAACTGGAGATGCCAGGGACTGAACCTGGGACCTCCTACAGGCCAAACAGACTACCACTGAGCCACAGTCCCTCCCTGAATACTTTTAAAATAAGGATGCGATTCTGGGGTATACTGCTTGGCACAAGAACTGGCTGCTTTTTGGGTCGAAGAGTCCTGTGCCACGAGCAACCGCTCCTTCCCCCTAACCATGATGATCTGTCTCACCTGAACATTGATTGCCTTGTCGAAGTCCTCATGTTTCTTGATGAGAGCCTCCACACTGTCTAAGGAATCCCCTTTATCTTCGGTGTTTAAGAAAGCCTCCCGGGCTGCCATCCAGTTCTCTGCCTGCTCGCAGTCCCTGTGGAACAGCTAGTGAGAAAAAAACAAGCATGTTTACTGAACTGACCAATCCTCAATGCGCAAAACTCTGTCTGAAGGGACATGGTTTAATCAAACAGGTGTACCTGTAGCTCCAGGCACTGGTCCAACATCATTCGGCGCTGGATCCATGCTTTCTCCAAATCAGCCCGTTCTTGATCCAGAATGTCCAGCTTCTCTTTGATCTCTGGGCTGGCGTAGTGGCCGTGTGCCAAGAGCTGCTGCCCAAACTGCTCGAATGCCTGGAAAGTGCCAGCTCGGGCATCTATTTCAGTGCGATGTTCCTATAGTAAAGTGAGAGGTACTGACTAAGCAACAACTGTAGCATTTTGAATGCAGCCATTTGTTTGTTTTGTAGTACAGTTCCCCTTTTTTTATTTTTCTCCATTTATATTAATGTTTATGGCGTGTTATATGCCAATAAAGGCTAATGGAATTGAACTGTTTGGACAATACATTTCCAACTGTAGATACAAACTTGCCTTTAACAGCACACCTTCATTACTTACACCCAGAGGTCATTTCGGGGGGGATCGCAGTTCCCCCGAGTGAGGTACGGGGGGCGGGGCACAAGACGAAGCCCCGCCCCCTGCTTCCAGCCGTCCCGCTTCCGGCCCTCATTCAGCCAGGAGGAGGCAGGAGAAGAGGGAGGGTAAGTTGCTTCCTCCCTGCCTCTCCCCACCCCTGCCTGCCTGGGGCCAGGGAGGGCCTTCGCGGGACTTCCTTGCACTCCCGCCGGCCTTGCAGGTCCACCGCCGGGCCCCTCATGGGGCTCAGCAGTGGAGCTGCAAGGCTGGTGACGGCGGCCGGGACCGTTGGGGGTGGGGTGTGTGGCCTTATGACACACTTCCGGTGATGTCATGGGGTGTGGCATATGCTAATGAGTTATGCTAATGAGTTCCCCTAGCTCTTTTTCTACGAAACGACCCCTGGTCTGCTGCTTGCTTTGCCATTGCCTTTCACCCTCCATCTCACACTGCGTAAACCCCTTTTGCTCAAAAAACTCCTGTGTTTGAGACAGCTGGGGAAGAAGACTGCCATCATCTGCCATCACACATCTTTTATGAGTATGAAGGAGTTGGCGTTTTGCTAGCATTAAGAGATGCCCTTGTTCAATCAGCTTGCTGGCAGAGGGCTGTTCGTCTCCATACTTCGTGTGGAGAGCACCAATCCGAGGGCTCATCTCAGTGCGACAGCACGAGCTCACCTTTGATGTAGTTGTGGTCTCCGGTAACATCTGCAGGCATCCGTATGAGGACAGTTAACATCCAGAGCTGGTTCCAGAATCTGGGGGGCCCTTCGCAGAGAGTCCCCAGGGCTCCGCCCTCCACTAGGCTCCTGGCCGCCCCGAGTTTGTCTTTGCGCTGGTTGGCCCGTTTCCCCAGGCTGCTCCAGGCCTGGTTCAGCTCCGTGCATTTCTCCTGGAGATCTTCAGCAGACTCAGGGTGAGACTGAATCAGGCGTTCAGCGGTCTCTCCAAGAGAGTTCACCTACAGCACCACGAAAGGAGGAAACCTTTAGGACTGGAAATGCAATGTCCTCACCAAAGCTGTCACTGTAGAGAGCCACGTAAGACATTTACAAAACACAAAGGCCAGCCCTGTAAGTCACTCCCCTCTAACCCTAACCCTCTTACCTTGTCTCCAAGAGCTGCAAGATCTCTCTCAAAGCCCTCATGCTTGCGCTGAAGGGCCTGCACACTTGCCAGATCATGCCCGTAGTTGTCAGTGTTTAAGGCCTGGTTCTTTTCTTCAATCCATTCCTTTGTTTCATCAGCATCTCTGCAAGACAGGCAAGAAATGAAAGTAACAGTCTACCATCGGGAATCTTTTTCTTTTTTTTAAGAACTCTTATATATCTTTGTATCCGGGTCAGTTTTTGGAGAGCTGGGGGTTAAACTGGTAGCGGGGGGTCTTACGTGTATCATGTCTGAAGCAGTGTTCCCTCTAAGCTGAGTTAGTGTGAGCTAGCTCACAGTTTTTTAGCCTCCGGCACACACATTTTTGCCTTCGCTCAGGAAGGATGGCTCCAGAACAAACTAATTTATGCAGCAGCCAAATCGCTTGCTCACAACTTTAATGCCAGCAGCTCAAAAGTAGAATTTTTGCTCACAAGACTCCACAGCTTAGAAGGGCGCATTGGTCTGAAGCCTTCTAACTGAATCTTAAGGGGATATTTCATTTGTTGGTTTTTATTCTGCGTTTCAACCAGAAACTGGCTCCCAAAAGCAGCTCAAAAGAATCAAAGTACAAGTAATGACTGACGTTAAATACCAAGGGGATCTCGGGGGAGGTAGGGAGATGTCCTGGTGGAGCTGGCCAGGCAGG